GGCCCATTCGCTGTTTAGGGCCCACAGGTGCCAGGCCACGCCGGAGCCTGGGGGTGGAGTCGGGGGACGCGGAGCTGGGGGCGGAGCTGAGGGCGCGGAGCGGGGGGCGGCGGAGCGGGGGTGGGGCTGGAGGCGGAGCCTGGGGGTGGAGCCGGGGGACGGGGCCATAGATCAATCCAGCAATCAGTCCGTCAGTTCAGAGTCAGTCACTAGTCCGAGCCAAGGAAACAAGGGAGTTTCTCGATTGGTGCGGCCGGTGGAGCGCTCGCCTTGAGCTGGGGAGCTGGGACAGCGCCCCGGGCCCCGAGTTCAGGCCCCACCACCACCACCAAACCACCACCAACAAATACACAAAACAAAGCGGGTGCCTCTCCAGGGGAGGGGGCTGCCCTCCCCCTAGGACGCAGCCCCCTGGCCCCCAGATGAGTCCCCTGCCCCGCACTGGGCTTCTCCCCACATACCGCCCCCTTTCTTTGTAAAGGCGTGGTGGTGTGCCACCTTGAGTCCCAGGCCAGCTGGGTGAACTCAGGGACACCCTATCCCAAAAGCTAAATGCAAACCAAAGGTCCTGGGGAGGCTCAACCAGTACAGTGCTTGTGCAAGACACTCCTGCAGTCTGCGGCCCTCAGGTCAGGCTCCGGGGGGAGTGGAGGCTCTGACCCCTTCCCAGATTAAACCAAAGGCCAAGAGAAATTCACACAGGGGCTGATCATCTCCCAGAGTCGTAGGCTGCTGGTCCCATCCTGCCACAGGCTCAATCGCAGCCCGGGCTCCAGAGAGCCCAGAAGACAGAGGCTAGTGTGCTGGATTGGAATCGCGTGCTGTCCTCGTGGTGGGGGGAGATGGGCCTGCCCCGTTCTTCTTGTCCACCGCCAACATCCCCAGAGGGAGTGGCCAGCCTGGGAGACTCACCCAGATGGTCTTGTGTGTACCTGTGTGCCTGTGTGTGTGTGCACACACAAGAGTGCAATAGTACTAGAGCTTGAACTCAGTGCCTCTTCCTTTCCCTCAGCTTTTCACTCAGGCTGGCACTCTACCCTTTGAGCCACATCCTGAATTTGTCTGCCTGGGGGCTTCAAACTGTCATCCTCAGATCTCAGCCTCCTCCATCGCTAGGATTATAGGCATGAGCCACTGGTGCCCAGCTTTTTTTTTTTTCTTTCTGTTTTTGTCAGTCCTGGGCCTGGGCGCTGTCCCTGAGCTTCTTTTGCTCAAGGCTAGTGCTCTACTACATGAACCACAGAGCTACTTCTGGTTTTTTCTTTTCTTTTTTTTTTTTGGCTTGTTGTGGACCTGAACTCTGGTCCTGGGCGCTGTCCCTCAGCTCTTCAGCTCAAGGCAAGCGCTCGACTGCTTGAGCCCACAGCACCACTTCCGGCCTTTTCTGTTTATGTGGTGCTGAGGAATTGAACCCAGGGCCTCAAGCATGCAAGGCAAGCACTCTACCACTGAGCCACCTTCCCAGCCCCTGGCTTTTTTTTTTGTCAGTTTTGGGGCTTGACTTCTGGGCTGGGTGCCATCCTGTGTTCTTACCACCTTAGCCACAGCACCACGTCTGGTTTTCGAGTTGTTTATTGAAGCTAAGAGTTTCACAGGGACTTTTCTGCCCCGGCTGGCTTTGAACCTCCATCCTCAGGTCTCAGCCTCCTGAGTAGCTAGGATTGCAGTTGTGAGCCCTGGAGCCCTTGCCCTTTGGCTGGACTGGCTTGCTAAACAGGTACTCTGTTCTTCCAGCCCTGTCTCCAGCCCTTTTACTTTATTATTTGCTTTTGGTAAGGTCTCACACATTTTGCCTGCGTCTGCCATCCTCCTACCAATGCCTCTGAAGTCTCTTGGATGACACCGCCCATGGCGCACACCGCCATGGCTGGATTGTTTGTTGAGATGTCCTGGCTGACTTCAAACCCTGGCCCTCCTCACCTGTCTTCTCAAATAGCTGGAATGACAGGCTGAGCCACTAGTCTCTGGGCTCCAGCTCTCTATCTTCCCCCTCCCCTCCCAGTTATTAAGTCCTATCAGTCCTGTGATCTCTGGTGCCTGCCACCCCTAATGAGTGGAGCTCCTGTGAGCACGGGCATCCTCAGGCTAGGAGGCGTCTGTGCCTGGGGCAGCAAGGGAGGACAGGGCTCCAGGCCTCAGAGCCTGGGAGCTGAAGGACTTGGTATGCAGACTCCCAGAGGACTTGAGCAAAGAGCCCGTGGAGGGGGTATGGTCTGCCCGGCCTGGCCCCTCGGGACTCAGTGACACAGTCAGGGTAAGTTACAGAGGTCATCCAGTTTGGGTTCATAGTTCTGGCCCAAGTCACAGGTTCACATCTGGCAAAGGCCATCTTTGGGCTAGAATTCCACGGCCCCACGTGCATGTTTGTGGGTTCCCACAATTTTATTTTTATTTTTGCCGGTTGTGGGGTCTGAACTCTGGGCCTGGGCGCTGTCCCTCAGCTCTTCAGCTCAAGGCAAGCGCTCTACCACTTAAGCCACAGTGCCACTTCTGGCTTTTTCTGCTTATGGAGTGCTGAGGAATCGAACCCAGGATCTCATGTATGCAAGGCAAGCACTCTACCACTGAGCCACTTTCCCAGCCCCCAAAATATTTTTTCTCTTTTGCTGGTCCTGGGACTTGAACTCTGGGCCTGGGCACTGTCCCGAAGCATTTGTGTTCAAGCTACTTTTATAGTCTAGTGGACACCAGAGACGCACAGCCTTTCCTGCTTGGACTGGCTTCAAACTGCAGTCCTCAGACCCCACCCTCCTAAGTAGCTGGGATTACAGACATGAGCCACCAGCACCTGGCTCCAAAATGTGTTTCATGAGTGGATCTCAGCAGTCTGTGATTCTGCATGGCAACTGGGGATCTGGGGAGCCTGATCCAAGAGGCAGCTGCACAATGGGCTTCGACCCGGGGTGGGCTGGTGCCTGTGTCCACGGCACCGAGGGCCTAGCCACCGGGGGCCAGCTAGGACTTGCCAGTTTCCAGCTACTGTGACCTAATCAGGTCTGGGCCTAGGGCTGGGTCCCTGGTGGGCAAGGCTTGAGGGTCCGGGCCAGCCCTGGGCTCCCCAGGCCATCTGGCGGGCCTGGCACTGAGGCTCTGTGCCTCTCTGGTGGCAGTGCCCTTTCTGGGTGCCCTGCCGGGTCTGGGCCAGGACTACCGGCCCCTGCCCGCGGAGGCGGCTGCGCTCCAGCCCGGTCCCTTGGGAGGTGCCTGGCCTGGCCTGGCCAGCCCAGAGCCCGCTGGGGGGCCCAGTGCCCTTCAGTCCTCACATTGGTCAGAGAGAGCTGGAACGAAATGACTCAACCCAGTCTTTTTTTTTTTAAACAAGTTTATTGAAAGGGTCTGAAAATAGTAATAAGGCTTTCATCAATAATTAACAAATTTTCAAGATATTAACAATATGAAACATTAAGAATTTGCTTCAAAGCCCCAAGTGCTCTAGACCGTCCAGCAGCGCGCAGCACCGGCACCCACTTCCTTGGACGAGGTCCAATTCTGCACCTTTGCTCCCCAGGCCCGACAGCACCCTGCACCCCTCGATGGCCCATTCGCTGTTTAGGGCCCACAGGTGCCAGGGGAAGACGGTGCCATGCACCTCATATGAAGAGGGCTTGGGCTCTGGCCTGGGCCGCACAGCCATCCGCAGGGAGGCCCTTGGTGGCTGGGCACAGTGCCGCACCTGCGTGCCTTCAGGAGGCCCATCTAGGCATGAGAGTAACTTATCAGGTGAAAACAAAACGTTGAGATACCAACTCAAAGCAGATGTCCACCGTGTCCCCTGGCCAGGGCGCTGCCTTGCGTTGGACCACGCCAGGCGGCTGTGGGTCACAGACTCGGGGCGCCGAGGCACACACAGCTCAGGAAGGCAGAGGCACAGGGCTGTGGCCTGGCTGTCTCCGCCCGGCCCTGGAAGCACCAAACTGCTCCTGGACCCTCTGCCCGGTAGACATGATGTAAACACGGACCGTCCTTCCTTCTACATCTTCCCAAGCGTACAATAAAATATGTACATAAGCACTTCAGGAAATTTAAGAGAGTCTCTAAGAAGTACAGAACAGGACTTACACATCTTCCCAGAACCCGCTGCGTGAGGAATGTGGTTGGGACGGTCGCTTCGCTGGCTGGCGAGGGGCTGAGGCCCCGGGCGGGCTCCACGCCGCCCTGCAGCCCGCACCCGTCCCCAGAAACTGCAGGCCAAGCAAGTGCACCCTGCGGTCGACCCGCAGCGAACTCGGCAGGCCACCTCCAGAGTTTTAGGGGAGAAGATGCAGAGCCCAGGGGAAAAGCATGGCAGTTAAAGGAAGAGTTTGGCTGAGACATTTATTTCAATTATCAAAAGGGAGATCAATTCATTCTGACCCCTCAGAATTTCAATAGACTGATTGGTGGGAGCTTCCTGACCTGCACTTGCAGGGCCCGGCCAGAGCAGTGCAGGCTGGCACCCAGCCCAGAACGAAGAGCAACTCAGACGTAAACACACAGAAGCAGCCCAGGCTCTTCCCTGGAGGCGGGGGCAGACCGCGGCTGGTCCAGGCGGCCTAGCCGTCCTCACGCACGCCCCCGTCCCCGTCCTCTTCCTCGGTGAAGTGCGCCTGCTTCTTCCGCACGTTCCAGTGCAGACACTGTGCGAGGCTCTCGAACCAGTCGCTCACCGGGTCGCGGACACAGATGGAGGGGAGTGGGTAGCAGGAGGTGGTGATGCTAATGCTGGGGGGGGGGGGCAGGCCTGTGAGCACAGAGCCACCAGGGCGCCCGCTCCTCCCAGGCTGGCCCCAGCACCCTCAGCCCTGAGGGGCCTATCTCTTTTAGAGATAGTGGGCCAGGCGGGACTTGGTAGGCCTGTGTGGGGGTCACCTGTCCCCGCATCCACCCCAGGCCTCCGGGAGGCCCTGCCAGGCTAAGAGGCTTGGGGGCATGGCCGGCAGGCTCTGCGTGGAGCGGATGGTGGGCCAGGCCACAGCCATGCCAGAGGACGCCCACTCAGGTCCAGCGGGGTGACAGACCCAGGGGTCCCTCTGACCTGTGCCCCCTGCAGCCCCAGCCAGCCAGGCCAGCCACAGTCCTGAGGCCTTGCCTGGCACAGGGGAGGCCGACACGCCTGCCCTGCAGCCCCACACCTGTCTCCGTGGTGAATCTCCTGCCTCTTCCGGCCGTCAAAGGACACCCAGGCCGTGTTCCTGGCTTCCGGTGACAGCATAATCTGAGGGGTCAAGAGGGGAAGGGGGGCTGGGCTGAGCGGGGCCCAGGCCTGGCAGCTCTGGCCTTGCTCTAGCACGCCAGCAGCTTCCTACACACGGCACACCTGCGATCAGGCCTGGTCCGGGGGGCCAGAGCCGCCGAGTGTGGGGAGGACGCTGGGGCTGGCGCCAGCAAGCCGGCCGACCCTTCCTCACCGAGGGCCACCTGCCCTGGCCCTGCGAGGGCTGGCCGGCTCTCCCTGACAGGTGGGCAGGCTCCTGAGCCCAGGCCAGGGGCTCACATGCCTGAGGCAGCGGCACGCTGGGACTCCAGTAGCTGCTTCCCACTGTCACTGTCCCCCCCGAGGCTCACGCGCAGAGGAGGCAGAGGGGCACTGGCTCTGACCTTCAGCTCCACCCCTGCAGGGACCACGATGGGTCGGAATGACAGTGAGTGGGGACAGATGGGTGTGACCATGATGGCGGGCACGTTGGGGTGAACCATGGAGGCCCCGGCTGCCGCTGCGTACGCTGTGCTGCCCGTTGGGGTGGACACGATCACACCTGGCGGGGACAGGGTGCGGGCGTCACGCTGGGTCCTGCACAGGGCTCTCGGGGCCCAGCCGTCCCCAGCCTTACCATCACCCTGCACCGTGGTGATGAGGTGCCCATCCAGGTAGACGTCCACGTTGGACAGGTACGAGGAAGGGCCTCTGTCGATGACCACCTCATTCAAGACCTGGGGAGCAGGGGGCCTCTGTGGTCAGAGGGGTCAGCCAGCAGCACCGGGCACACAGGCACCTGTGGCGCTACCCTGGCATCCAGCCCCACGTCCCCGCCAGGGCCACAGGACAGACCTGGAACTGCATGGCCTGCTTCCCGGCCTCCGCGCCCGTGCCAGGCAGCCCGTTCTCGCTGAGCCCGTTGTGCAAGGCCGCCTTCTTGCCTGGGAGCTCCTTGACCACTCTCACCTTGAGCCGGCTCCGAAGAACAACAGCCGCGTTCCCTGGGGTACCAGAGGTCAGCAGGGCCCGCCCGCCCCGCCCCACGGGCCCCTCCCTTCCGAGGGCACACAGCGCGGCTCCAGCCCAGGCTGCTGACCCCTAGCATTAAGGGAGAACAACGGAAGGGGTGACAGTGATCAAAACACAAGTGCTCACACCTGACTCGTGAGACTGCGAACTGTGCGTACCACTATCTAAAAGACCCAAAACTTAAAAATCCTTCAATCTTGACTTTTGTCCCCTCAGTCTGGGCGCTGTCCCTCAGCTCTTCAGCTCAAGGCGATCGCTCTGCCACTTGAGCCACAGAGCCACTTCCAGTTTTCTGGTGATTTATTCAAGATAATAGTCTCACAGACTTTTCTGCCCGGGCTGGCTTTGAACTTTCAACCGTGATCCTCAGATCTCAGCCTCCTGAGTAGCTAGGATGACAGGCCTGAGCCATGGGCACCCAGCCAAATCCTCAAACTTTTAAGTGCTACTTCATTCACCATTAAGTAAAAATAAATAAATAGAAAATACAACCAAGTGGGAATGCAACTCCATGTTTCCCGAACATTCCAACTCACCCTCTATCACCTGAGTGACTTGGGACTGGAAGTTCTCGAAGTTGAATGGGGTGAGGAAGCCGAGCGAGCCCAGGTGGAAAGCCATCACTGGAGGCACACTGCCCTGTGGAGAGGGGAGGGTGGAAGCCATCACTGGAGGCACACTGCCCTGTGAGGAGGGTGGAAGCCATCACTGGAGGCACACTGCCCTGTGAGGAGGGTGGAAGCCATCGCTGGAGGCACACTGCCCTGTGAGGAGGGGAGGGTGGAAGCCATGGCTGGAGGCACACTGCCCTGTGAGGAGGGGAGGGTGGAAGCCATGGCTGGAGGCACACTGCCCTGTGAGGAGGGGAGGGTGGAAGCCATGGCTGGAGGCACACTGCCCTGTGAGGAGGGGAGGGTGGAAGCCATCGCTGGAGGCACGCTGCCCTGTGAGGAGGGGAAGGCGGGCAGTGCTCGCCGTCCACCCACAAGCCCGGAGCTGCCAGCGGCTTTCGAGTGGGAGCGCCTCAGCGCAGGGCGCTGGCCAGCGTCCCCTGGGGCCAGGCCAGGAGGGCCTCAGTGAAGAGGCTGCCTCCCAGGGAGGAGGGGCTGGAGGGATGCAGCCGTCACAGCCTGTGCACAGGCTCTGATGGAGCCCACGACCAACAGGCTACCGGGTGGGGGACTCGGTGACACGGGGGGGGGGGTGCTGCGGTGCAGCATGGGCAGCACCTGCACCACGGGGCTGGGCGAGGAGCCAGGGCCCTCTCACAGGCTACCTGTAGCCTGCAGAAAGACACCTGCTGTCTCCAGCAGCCTCTGCCAGAACCTGCTCCAACACTGGCCCTCCTCCCTGAGGGACTCACCCTGGCATGCACTGGTCACTGGCCCAGTGCGCTCCTGTGCCCAAGGCCAGGCCCCAATGGGTGGAGGAGGTAGCCAAAAACTCCCCGTGCCCGCTCCCTCCAGCTCCCCTCCCAGCCCAGCCCTTGCCCACGCTCCCTTCTGCGGGCTGGGCCAGGCCACAGGGTGGGATCACAGGCGAGGAAGCCAGCAGTGCCCTGCAGGGCTGCTCCTCCCCCCCAGCACAGGAAGCGCACACATGCTCTTCACTGCATCATTCACACACGCTCTTCAGCCAGCACTTGAACTGCACAAAGACAAACCGCACCTGCCGGGCACAGGTGGCTCACGCCTGGAATCCTAAGCTACTCAGAAGGCTGAGATCTGCCTGGACAGGAAAGTCCTTGTGATACATTTTTGTTGTTGGTGTTGTCGGTCGTGGGGCTTGAACTCTGGGCCTGAGCGCTGTCCATCAGCTCTTCAGCTCAAGGCGAGCACTCTACCGCTTGAGCCTCAGTGCCACTTCCGGCTTTCTAGTGGTTTATTGGAGATAAGAGTCTCACGGACTTTCCTGCCCCACTGGCTTTGAACTGTGATCCTCAGATCTCAGCCTCCTGAGTAGCTAGGATTACAGGCATGAGCCACTGGCGCCCGGTTCTTGAGATACTCTTATCTCCAATTAACCACCAGAAAATTGGAAGTAGCACTGTAGCTCAAAATAATAGAGCGCGAGCCTTGAGCAAAAGAGCTCAGAGACAGCGCCCAGGTTCCGGGCTCAAGCCCTGTGACTGACAAACAAACGCAACCCCCAAACTCAAGTCCAGAAGAGCTGGGCAGCGCTGGTGAGCGGCTGCCCCGCTGCCTCACCTGGAAGAGTGAGGAGGCGTAGAGCAGGGTCCCGTCGCCCCCCAGGCAGATGATGAGGTCTATCTGGTTGGAAATGTCGTCATAATCTAGAAAGCAGTCAGGAGGCAGAAGAGCACCGTCACTCCCGGGCCGCACGCCAATGGCACGGGCAGAGCACCGGCAGCTGCTCCAGCCACAGCTGAAGACGCACCTTCTCGGAAAGTGCAGAACTTCTTCTTCACTGGTCCAAAGTTCTCATCACTCGCGATGGCGGGATCTTCCAGCACTTTCTTCTCCACATACACGATCATGTTGTTCTCCTGCAAGCATGGCTCACTGAGCTCCACGTGGCCCCCACAAGCCCGGCTGGGCCAGGGGCCTTGCAAAGAACTCCTTCCAGGCCTCTGCAGGGGCAGCCTGGAAGAACAGTGGCTTTCTCTGGGGCCCTGGTCTCCCTTCCAGCCTCCCCCTCACTGCTGTGCGGCAGGAGGTTCTGGCCTTCCAGGCCTCTGGACCTCAAGACAGATTTGTAACCTGCTGGCTGTGATCGGACTGCTTGCCTGTGACCCCACCGTGCGGTGAGAGGGTGGGAATGCACTCTGACCACCTGTTCAGAGTGGGGCCTGGGAGGCAAGGCCTTGGGTGAAGCCCCACACTCCAATCACGGAGGCTTTATGGAAAGAAACCCTGCATGTGCTCACATACACAGAGAGCCTGTCTCGCCTTTTCTGGGGGTCAGTCATGGGGCCTGAACTGTGGGCCTGAGCGCAGTCCCTCAGCTCTTCAGCTCAAGAGCGTCAGCTGAAGAGCACTTGAGCCACAGCACCACTTCCAACTTTTTCTGCTTATGCGGTACTGAGGAATCGAACCCAGGGCCTCATGCATGCCAGGCAAGTGCTCTACCACCGAGCCACCTTCCCAGCCCTCTCCTCCTTTTCTAATGTGTCAGTCCTGGGCTTGAACTCAGGGTCTGGACACTGTTCCTAAGCTTTTTTGGCTCAAGGCTGGTAGTGCTCTACCATTTGAACCAGACCTCCACTTTCAGCCTTTTGGTGGTTAATTGGAGATAAGAGTCTCAGGACTTTCTTGCCCTAGCTGGCTTTGAACCAAGACTCTCAGAGCTCAGCCTCCTGAGTGTCTAGGGTTACAGCCGTGAGCCCCAGGTGCCTACCCAGGTCCTGTGTCTCGCCAGGTGGTGCTTAGGACTGCCAGCAAGATGGCCATCACCAGATATGGCCCCTTGACCTTGAACTTCCAGAACTGGGAGCCAAAATGAACCTTACCCAGCCTGTGGAGCTGGGCTGTTAGCAAGGACTGCCGCAAAGGGCTCCTGAGAGACCTGGGGCAACCCAGGAGGCTCTGAGGTGGGAGGTCACATTCTGGGGCCAGGCTCCCCACAGGCAGCCCTTCACCCTTTGCACGCGGCGGCTGCAGGCCCGACTTGCCTCCATGAGGTACACGCAGAGCTCCTTAAAGGGCTGCAGCAAGCTGGCGTCCCGAATCTTCTTGATGACAAGCACGCTCTTGGGGGACTTGTTCCACGTCAACCGCTGGCTCCCAGGGTCCTGGATATGCCTTTGGGGAGGAGAGGGCAGCCTACAACCGCAGTCCTCCTCCCTCGGTGAGAGGGGCTCGGACAGCCAGCGCTGCCCCTGGGTGGCCCGGTGCCCACTCACACACACGGACAGCCAGCGGTGCCCGAGGTGCCCACTCACAGACACAGACACCCGGCGATGCCCGGGGTGCCCACTCACACACACGGACACCCGGCGATGCCCGGGGTGCCCACTCACAGACACGGACACCCGGCGATGCCCGGGGTGCCCACTCACACACACGGACACCCGGCGATGCCCGGGGTGCCCACTCACAGACACGGACACCCGGCGATGCCCGGGGTGCCCACTCACAGACACGAACAGCCGGCAGTGCCCTGGTGCTCACTCACACACACGGACAGCCGGCGATGCCCGGGGTGCCCACTCACACACATGGACAGCCGGCGATGCCCGGGGTGCCCACTTACACACACGGACAGCCGGCAGTGCCCCGGTGCCCACTCACAGACACAGACACCCGGCGGTGCCCGGGGTGCCCACTCACAGACACAGACACCCGGCGATGCCCGGGGTGCCCACTCACACACACGGACACCCGGCGATGCCCCGGTGCCCACTCACAGACACAGACACCCGGCGGTCCCCGGGGTGCCCACTCACAGACACAGACACCCGGGGTGCCCACTCACACACACGGACACCCGGCGATGCCCGGGGTGCCCACTCACACACACGGACACCCGGCGGTGCCCACTCACAGACACAGACACCCGGCGGTGCCCGGGGTGCCCACTCACACACACGGACACCCGGCGATGCCCCGGTGCCCACTCACAGACACAGACACCCGGCGGTCCCCGGGGTGCCCACTCACAGACACAGACACCCGGGGTGCCCACTCACACACACGGACACCCGGCGATGCCCGGGGTGCCCACTCACACACACGGACACCCGGCGGTGCCCACTCACAGACACAGACACCCGGCGGTGCCCGGGGTGCCCACTCACACACACGGACACCCGGCGGTGCCCACTCACACACACAGACACCCGGCGGTGCCCGGGGTGCCCACTCACAGACACAGACACCCGGCGATGCCCGGGGTGCCCACTCACAGACACAGACACCCGGCGATGCCCCGGTGCCCACTCACAGACACGGACACCCGGCGATGCCCACTCACACACACGGACACCCGGCGGTGCCCACTCACACACACGGACACCCGGCGGTGCCCACTCACAGACACAGACACCCGGCGGTGCCCGGGGTGCCCACTCACACACACGGACACCCGGCGGTGCCCGGGGTGCCCACTCACAGACACGGACACCCGGCGGTGCCCCCTGGATGGCTACTCACAGACGGTAGAGAAGCCCCGCAGAAGAACAAGCAGGGGGCAGCACCCTCAGCTGCCGGAGGCCTGGAGGAGGCAGCCCTGTCTGGCCAGTGACATTTGCAGGACTCCGACCGTATCTCCTTGTGCATTCTGCTACCCACACCTGCTACTCACCGCGATGGATGAACCACTGAGGCCACGCTCAGCTACTTAATGATAGCCATGGGAACAGAGACCACATACAGAGCCAAGAGGAGAAGTCCAGGCCGACACCTTGACCAGAGGGTGTCTGGTCCCATAATTCTTCAGGACACTGGCTACACTGTACACACCTCCCTGAGCACAGCTCACCACTCCAAACCCCTATGGACTGCGCATGTACGTGTGCGTGTGTGTGCGCACGCCTGTGTGGACTCTTCCTGCATGCGTGTGTGTTCATGCACACACACCCCTGCACCAATCCACACCTCTGCTTCCGGTTGCCTCGTGGTTAACTGGAGAGAAGACAATCTCATGGACGCTCCTGCCTGGGCTGCCTTCAAACCATGGCCTTCATGGTGTGAGCCACCAGCACCCAGGTCGATCTTCATGCAAAGGCAGCTTGGACAGATAAATCCAAGAGACTCTTATCTCCAACTAACCAGTAAAAAGCTGGAAGTAGAGCTGTGGCTCAAGAGTATCAAGCTTGAGCAAAGAAAGCTAAGGGACAGCGCCCAGGCCCAGAGTTCACGCCCCAGTACCAGCACAAAGAAATAAGAGAAATCAAGTGAAAGTCTGGGTAAAGGCAGCGTGAATCCTCCTGAGCGCACAAGGCTTGGGTTTCCGGTGCCTGTGACAGACCAGCTCAAACCTCAGACCACTGTCCACACTTGGTCTCCAAAAGTAGACTCTACCCAGCTGCGTCTCCATCACAGCTGAGATTCCTGGGGCACACCAGGCCAGAACACCCAGACACCCACAAAAAGGGCGTCTGCACGCATGCCAGGACCACCTCCTGCCCTTGGCAGCTGCTGGAAGGTGGCTGTGGCTGGCCAGCCAGTGGGTCAGCGCTCCACACTGACCTCCTCAGCCCCAGCTGCAGAAAGACTTCCCTGTTCAGCATGCACCCCCAGCAGAGAAGCACCTTTCAAAACCGAGGGGTAGCCACAAATAATGGCAACCGAGTGTCACCTTCGCCCCAGGTGGCCCCAGACACCACTCACCGGTTCCATGCCCTTGTGGGAAGTGAGGGCCCGCTCATGGCACCCCTTCTGAGCCCGCTGTGCCAGGCCCACGGCTCCGAGGCCTCCACTTCTAGGAGACAGCATCCCCGCCCACGTCGCTAGCAGGCATGCACGCAGCTCTGCCCGCTGACATGCTCCCAATCCCGCATTACACGACTAGCTTCGCACCCGCAAAATTGAAAGCGGAACATTTCTTAGAAGACTTACAAGTCTTTCAGAAACAACTAAGTCAAAAGAGCTTCCCAGACTTAAGGACGTGAAAATAAGATTTCCTGCAGCCACACATGACCCTCTTCTGCCTGACTGCTTACTTGAAAATACCAGGCTGACCTCAGCAGCCAAAGCCCAGCGCCACCGCCCTGCTCTGCCGCGCCCTAGGCTCCCCAGCAATGCAGCCCGGGCCTGGGCAGCCCAGAGCCCTGGCTGTGCCGTCGGAGCTGAACCATGCCAGGCCCGGCCCGCCCACTGGGCAGAGCTCCCAAGCCACCCATAGGTGAAAGGGCGGCAGGTGAAAGGCAGTCCCAGCCTGAACCCATGAGCGTGGGTGTCCACAGCCCGGTGCCCAGGCAGACCCCACCGCTCCAGCTCTGCACACAGCACGTCCGGCCGCCTGCCCGCCACACATCAAGGCTGCTCTAGGCCGGCCCAGTTCAAGGCGCGGCCTGCAGACGCAGCTAAGCAGAGCCACCGCCACTTATCTTCCACAAGGCCTAGGTGCCAGCCTCTCCTGTGACCACAAACCAGTTCCTCAACTTCCTCTTGGGCCACCATGGAGGAGGGGTCTGGCCCTTCCAGCCCTCAGGCTGCAGGTGCAGGGCTGAGTGGGCAGGGCCAGCTCCAACGGACCTGCCGTGCTGCTCAGGGACATCTAGCCACTGACGCGGCCAGTAGCTTTAGACATTGTAACAACAAATGCACAGGCTCATGGCCACATCTCAGCCCGAGGAGGAAGTGCAGCTCCTCCTATGGAGCCCGAGAAGGAGCTCCTGAGCAACAGGGGGCTGCTGGGCTCCAACCACCCAGACACGGCCGGGCGCAGACGAGCCGCTGACATGGCTGTCCCGAGCTGGACACGGCCGGGCGCAGACGAGCCGCTGACATGGCTGTCCCGAGCTGGACACGGCCGGGCGCAGACGAGCCGCTGACATGCTGTCCCGAGCTGGACACGGCCGGGCGCAGACGAGCCGCTGACATGGCTGTCCCGAGCTGGACACGGACCGTAGCCGGCTGGGCCCTCCTGGGGGCTGCCTGACCTCAGGACCAGTGCCAAGCTGCCCTGCGCTCTGGGCAGAGGAGGGCCCTGGGCACTGGTGCACAAGGCAACACCAACACCTGCAAGCAGCCCTGGCCTGGCACAAGGAGCTGACACTCAAGGCTGCCCAGACAGGAAAGTGAAGTTGAACCTTCTGGGGCAAATGGTCAGGACCCCCTCCCCCAACCCACATCTGGCAGCAGCAATACACAGGTCAGGCCACCGCTCAGCTCCTCATCCCCACGGGCACCCTATGTTTTCTTTGGCTCAGCTGAGGTCCTCCAGACCTAATGGTGGGGCGGACACCGCTCTGAGGGCCTGAACACAGGCCAGGTCTCATAGTGGTCATGCTGCTGTCCTCGGCCCGCCCTCCTGTGACGCACAGGGTCACGGCCTGGGGCTGGGTCTCCACCCCGGGAGGCCAGCCTGGCTAGGAACCTTGGCCCTCACAACAAGCAGGGCCTGCCTGGGAGAGGGGCTTCCCTCTCAGGGAAGCGCACACATGGCCACCCTGGACACGTGGCTCCTTCACGTGACTGACCCTTGCAGGAGAGGGTGGGATACTAGGGTGTCCAACCGCCAGAGAACCAACAGCGAAGCTCTCTCTGGGGAAGCAGCACAACTAACAGTTCAAGGTGTAAAATGTGACAAAGTGAAGTCTAGTATATTTAATTCAGAGTCTGGACAGGTGACTGGGGTCTGGATAGGTGGCTCAGTGGTCGAGTGCTTGCCCAGCATGCATGAAGCCCTGGGTTCTGTTCCTCAGCACCACATACACAGAAAAAGCTGGAAGTGAAGCCGGGTGCTGGTGGCTCATGCCTGTAATCATAGCTACTCAGGAGGCTGAGATCTGAGGATCGAGGTTCAAAGCCAGCCCGGGCAGGAAAGACCGTGAGACTCCCATCTCTAATGAACCACCAGAAAACTGAAGTGGTGCTGTAGCTCAAGTGATAGAGTGCTAGCCTTGAGCAAAAGAAGCTCAGGGACAGTGCCCAGGCCCTGAGTTCAAGCCCCAGGACGGGCAAACAAACAAACAAACCACACACACAAATAACAAAGCACGAATATCAGCATCCTGAAATGATTCCCTCTCAGAGGGAAAAAAAAAAACTAGACTACCATGCAGAACACACTAAGAGAACACGTGCATTTCTGGAGCCAACAAATTCTAAAAAGAAGTTGATGATGGGAAGTGACTGGTGAGCAAGACTGTGGTCAAATGATCCACTGCATTCTCCCTGGGCCGTCTGGTGCGTGGCGGACTGCAAGGCGTGCTGGCCGGTGCTGCCAGACAGAGCAGGTCTGCCTGGCACGTGTGAGGCCTGGACTCCACCTCCACACTCACACTCACACACACCACAGGAGGCACATCCCACACACAATATAAATAATACACACATACCACACGCATACTCACTCTCTATATATACACCACATACAATATATTCACGTAGATACATACACACACAACATACCACACACCACACATATACAAAACACGGCACACACATATTACGCATACCACATATATCCAACACACACATCACACACAACCAACAAGAAGGAGCTCTTTCAAGCAGTTAAAATCAGGTTGAGAAGAAAGCCCATCACTGTGTCTGTGCTATTAACGGTTAAGCAGCGAAGCCTGGACAAGCCAAACTCTCAGAAGGCGGAAGTGCTGGGAAGGCCGCAGCTGCAGCGCGGGGCGGGGTGCAGCCGTGCTGCCCTGGACGAGCGCAGCGCGGGGCGGGGTGCAGCCGTGCTGCCCTGGAAGGCCGCAGCTGCAGCGCGGGGCGGGGTGCAGCCGTGCTGCCCTGGAAGGCCGCAGCTGCAGCGCGGGGTGCAGCCGTGCTGCCCTGGAAGGCCGCAGCTGCAGCGCGGGGCGGGGTGCAGCCGTGCTGCCCTGGACGAGCGCAGCGCGGGGCGGGGTGCAGCCGTGCTGCCCTGGAAGGCCGCAGCTGCAGCGCGGGGTGCAGCCGTGCTGCCCTGGAAGGCCGCAGCTGCAGCGCGGGGCGGGGTGCAGCCGTGCTGCCCTGGAAGGCCGCAGCTGCAGCGCGGGGCGGGGTGCAGCCGCACTGCCCTGGACGGGTGCAGCGCGGGGCAGGTTGCAGCCACGCGGGGCTGGACAGGCGCAGCGCGGGGCAGGGTGCAGCCGCGCTGCCCTGGACAGGCACAATGCAGGGCTGGACGGGTGCAGCACGGGGCGGGGTGCAGCCGTGCTGCCCTGGATGGCCGCAACACGGGGCTGAATGGGCGCAGCGCAGGGCGGGGTGCAACCGTGCTGCCCTGGACGGCCGCAGCAGGGGCTGGATAGGCGCAGCGCATGGGGGGGTGCAACCGTGCTGCCCTGGACGGCCGCAGCGTGGGGCTGGACGGGCACAGCGTGGGGCGGGGTGCAGCCGCGCTGCCCTGGACAGGCGCAGTGCAGGGCTGGACGGGTGCAGCACGGGGCGGGGTGCAGCCGTGCTGCCCTGGACAGCCGCAGCACGGGGCTGAATGGGCGCAGCGCAGGGTGGGGTGCAACCGTGCTGCCTGGACAGCCGCAGCGCAGGGCTGGACGGGCGCAGCGTGGGGCGGGTTGCAGCCACGCGGGGCTGGATGGGTGCAGCATGGGGCGGGGTGCAGCCGCGTGTCCCTGCCAGTGCCCTCACGCCCTGCGGCCACCACCGCTGGCTGTGTTCCGCGCTCCCTGTGTTGTGGGTGCGTGCGTGCGTGTCTGCAGTGTCTCACTGTGTAGCTGAGGCTGGCCTCCACGTTACCCACACGGACTCCCCTGCCTCCGCCTCCTGAGCACCAGCACTACAGGGGTGTGCCCCTGCTTCTGAGCCACGTGGACCGCATGGTATCCGCTAGGGACAGTTCAAGGCTTCTCTCAAGGCTTCCTTCAGAAGGACCCAGAAGCGCTTTGCACCGCGCATCAGCCCCCACACCCTGTCCCAGGACGGACCCAGGGCCCACGCACCACCCTGCCCCTGGCCCGAGCCCCAGGGGTGGAACTCACATGATGGTTTGAGGGTTCTGCAGCACACAGGCCTTTGGTCCAAACGTGGTCACCGGGCTGGGCCCGTGCAGAGAGCGCGTCCGCCTGCGGAAGGGGGCTACAGTCAGCACGGCGAGAGGCACATCCAGGTCACCAGACCCCAAAGACACAGGGCCACCAGCTCCATCACGGCACGCCCGTGGCACAGCTGGAGAACCTGCCTGGCCAGGGCTCCACTGAGCCCAGCTGGTAGCTAGGAGAGGCAGGGGCAGCCGTGCACACGGTGGACAACGGCTCAGAACCAGCAGCATGCGGGCTTGCGTCGCCTTCCACTGGGCTCTGGGCCTTTAATCAGGAATTAGGACCTTGGACAGGTCTCAAAATAATGCAGATTAAAATTCTACCAGAAATGTTCACTGGAAATCCCACATATCCATAAGGAAGATGTTAATAAGATACAGACTTCAGGTCTGGAAATGAGGCTCAGTGGCGGAGTGGTCATCTACCTGCATGAGGCCCTGGTACCCCATACACAAAAAGATGAGCAAAATCTTAAAAGATGTGCTTAAATAATATGTATTTTAACAACTGAGAAACTAATGTGTGTGCTACTACATTACCAAAGAATGCAGGGCTCACTCTGAACCAATCTTTCCATTAAGTGGAAAGTGACCATAGCTTCTTTCATGGGGGTCCAGGGCGCCCGCAAGAGCCAAGGCAACCACACAGCTGCCTTTTCCCCCCACTTTACCCTCCCCCCCACGCTGCCCTCCCCAGGGCCACACAGTCCATCTGAGCCCAGTGTTCTCCATGAGTCAGCAAACAAGCGGCGGCAAGCTTACCTCCAAAAGTCAGGAGGAAGCTACTCAGGAGGCTGAGATCTGGGGATCTGAAAGTCTATGAGACTCTTATCTCCAATAAACCACCAGAAAACCGGAAGTAGTGCTGTGGCTCAAATGGTAGAGTACTCGCCTTGAGCTGAAGAGCTGAGGGACAGCGCCCAGGCCCAGATTTCAAGCCCCATGACCACCATGACCACCACCACCACCAACAACAACAACAGCAACGAGAGGCTTGGCAGAAAGGCGGTTTGGAGCCTGCAGAACAGAATGCATCTCTAGGCGAACAGTCTCCATCTGTGTCCTCTGGCATGGGCAACAAGAGCAAGCTCTCCCCTGTAGGGGCAGCTGCCGCTCCGTGCTCACCATGCCCTTGGCTCAGGCCCACGTTTTTGTTTTTTTGTTGGCTGTGGGGCTCGAGGCCTGGGCACTGTCCCTGAGCTCTTTTGCTCAAGGCTAGTGCTCTACCACTTGAGCCACAGCACCACTTCTAGTTTTCTGTTGGCTAACTGGAGCTAAGAGTCTCACGGACTTTCCTGCCTGCCTGGGCTGGCTTCCAACTATGACCCTTGGATCTCAGTCTCCTGAGTGGCTAGGATAACGGGTGTGAGCCACCGGCGCCTGGCTTAGTCCCGCTCTTAGAAGGTTCAGAGTTCCCTGCACTTTTTGGTGGGCCCCAAGGCAGTTCTGTCCAGAAGCACACGCAGGAGAAGCGATCTGTGACGAGCCTGCCCATCAGGGCCACGGTGCTGGCCACCAGGGTCCAAGCAGGTCCAAAGCCCCAGGGCCGTCTCTAGGAATGAGCAGAGCTCATTCCTGTGGGGCTCTGCAGGTTGTCTTACCTCATGGAAGACATAGCATGCTTTTTTTATTTGCCAGTCCTGAGGCTTGAACTCAGGGCCTGGGCACTGTCCCTGAGCTTCTTTTGCTCAAGTCTAGCTCTACCACATGAGCCACAGTGCCACTTCCGACTCGTTCTGTGTATGTGGCACATGAGGAATGGAACCCAGGGCTTCATGCGTGCTAGGCGAGCACTCCGCCACCGAGCCACCGTCCCAGCCAGACTGCTTCTAGCCAGCAGTCTTCCTTGCATGTCACAGGTGTGGTCAGGGCCCTGGGGTCAATTCAGCTGCTCGTCCCAGGAAAACCTCACAGAGCACAAGGGGGGTGCTGTGCCGCGTCTGGCACGTGTCCCCAAGCCAGCCTGGCCCCAGGACCCAGCCCATCCTCTGCGCCAGGCTCTCACTAAGCACAGCTGGCACGCACTGCCATAGGCTGCCCGAAGAACTCTTGGTGCCAGCCCGAACTAGTCACCGCCAGCACGGGGGGAGGGCCCGCCCACCTGAACTCCTTGGTGCTGCCCGGGGCGGGCGAGGCAGACAGGCTCCGAGACTTGGCCCGGCCCCGGAGTGGGTGGCTGGGGCTCCAGGTCTCACCCCCATGGCACGCCGCGCAGCAGAAGGCCGAGTCCGGACTCAACTCCTTGCTCACGCTCATCTTTTCGTGTTCCATCTCCATAGTTGATGAGTGAGAAATCCCGCCAGAAAGACACTGATGCCTAAGTGTAACAAAGAAAGCATGCATCTGGGTAAGAAATAATGTACATGCTCATCTCATCCAAAGTGAAATAAAGACCAAAGTGATTTTCAAACTGCTTTGAATATAGCCTATTTCTTTCTTTTTTTATTTTTTTTTGGTCGGTCGTGGGGCTTGAACTCTGGGCCTGGGCGCTGTCCTTCAGCTCTTCAGCTCAAGGTGAGCACTCTACCACTTGAGCTACAGCACCACTTCCGGTTTTCTGGTGGTTTATTGGAGATAGGAGTCTCACGGTCTCTCCTGCCCAGGCTGGCTTCAAACTGTGATCCTCAGATCTCACCTCCTGAGTAGCTAGGATTACAGGCGTGAGCCACCAGTGCCCGGCTATTATATATATATAGCCTATTTCTACCCAGGCTGGGGGGGAGGGGTTTGCTGGTTTGTTTGTTTCCCTCACACCTTCAGTGCTGCATGTCTCCAAAAGCAGGGTGTGGAGGGTGCTCGGAGCGCAGTGTGACCCTGCTCCAGACCCAGCCTCAGCTGCTATGTAACTCCATCCACATGGCTAAAAGCCAACTAAAAAAAAAAGAACTGAGCCAGAAACCCAGCCAGACAGGTAAACCTGAAGCAGAAGTCACAGCACATTAATCTGAGGGAAAACAGATGCGTAATTTCAAATAACTGAGCCGAGAAAAGCCAAATAAGACTGAGTAAACACAAACCTGCAGGTGTCCACTGATCTCCAAATGCAACAGTCAACCTGTACACAACTCCACACTATGACAGGCTACTTGTACACTGAGCTCCACACTACAACAGTCTACCTGTATGCTGAGCTCCGTGAGCAACAGTCTGCCTGTACATTGAGCCTTGTGTGTAATAGCCTGCCTGTACACTGAGCTCAGCATCCAACAGTCTACCTGTATGCTGAGCTCCACAGGCAACAGCCTACCTCCATGTTGAGTGCCACACTACAACCGTTTACTTGTATGCTGAGCTCTGTGTGTGTAACAGTCTACCTATACACTGAGCTCCATGTGCAAGAGTCTACCTGTATGCTGAACCCTGCGTGTAAGTCTACCTGTATAGAACTCAGCATGCAAGTCTACCTGTATGCTAAGTTCTGTGTGCAACAATCTACCTGTACACAACTCCATACTACAACAGTCTACCTGTACACTGAGCTCTGCATATAAGAGTTTACCTGTATGCTGAGCTCCACACTACAAGTCTACCTGTATAATGAGCCCCATGTGCAACAGTCTCCTTGTATGCTGAGCTCTGTGTGCAAGTCTACCTGTATGCTCAGCCCTGTGTGCAAGAGTCTACCTGTATGCTGAGCCCTGCATGTAATAGTCTATCTGTACCCTGAGCCTTGTGTGCAAGTCTACCTGTACACTGAGCCCTGCGTGTAACAGTCTACCTGTACACTGAGCCCTGAGTGTAACAGTCTACCTATATGCTGAGCCCTGAGTGTAACATCTACCTGTACGCTGAGCCCTGCGTGTAACATCTACCTGTACACTGAGCCCTGCGTGTAACAGTCTACCTGTACACTGAGCCCTGCGTGTAACAGTCTACCTGTACACTGAGCCCTGCGTGTAACATCTACCTGTACACTGAGCCCTGCGTGTAACAGTCTACCTGTACACTGAGCCCTGCGTGTAACCTCTACCTGTACACTGAGCCCTGCGTGTAACAGTCTACCTGTACACTGAGCCCTGCGTGTAACAGTCTACCTGTACACTGAGCCCTGCGTGTAACAGTCTACCTGTACACTGAGCCCTGCGTGTAACAGTCTACCTGTACACTGAGCCCTGCGTGTAACCTCTACCTGTACACTGAGCCCTGCGTGTAACAGTCTACCTGTACACTGAGCCCTGCGTGTAACAGTCTATCTGAATGCTGAGCCTGCATGTAATAGTCTACCTGTACACTGAGCCCTGAGTGTAACAGTCTACCTGTACGCTGAGCCCTGTGTGTAACAGTCTACCTGTACGCTGAGCCCTGAGTGTAACAGTCTACCTGTACACTGAGCCCTGCGTGTAACAGTCTACCCCCTGCGTGTAACAGTCTATCTGAATGCTGAGCCTTGCATGTAATAGTCTACCTGTACACTGAGCCCTGAGTGTAACAGTCTACCTGTACGCTGAACCCTGAGTGTAACAGTCTACCTGTACGCTGAGCCCTGTGCAACAGTCTATCTGTACACTGAGCCTTGTGTGTAACAGTCTACCTATATGCTGAGCTCTGTGTGTAACAGTCTACCTGTACACTGAGCCCTGTGTGTAACAGCCGACCTGCATGCTGAGCTCCACACTACATCAGTCTACCTGTATGTTGAGCCCTACATGTAACAGTCTACCTGTATGCTGAGCCTTGCATGTTAACAGTCCACCTGCACGCTGAGCTCCACGTGCATAGTCTACCTGTACAGAGCTCCATGTGCAACACTCTACATGTACATAACTCTCCACTGTGACAGTCAACACCCACACAGCTCCACACTGAGACAGCCTACATACACCCACACAACTCCATGAAGTGATAGCCTACATACACCCACACAACTCCACGAAGTGACAGTATACACCCACACAACTCCACACCCTGACAGTCTACACCCACACAGCTCCACACCCTGACAGTCTACACCCACACCACCCACATGGCTCCACACCCTGACAGTCTACACCCACACCACCCACACGGCTCCACACCCTGACAGTCGACACCCACACCACCCACACGGCTCCACGCCCTGACAGTCGACACCCACACCACCCACACGGCTCCACATCCTGACAGTCTACACCCACACCACCCACACGGCTCCACGCCCTGACAGTCTACACCCACACCACCCACACGGCTCCACGCCCTGGCAGTCTACACCCACACAGCTCCACACCCTGACAGTCGACACCCACACCACCCACATGGCTCCACACCCTGACAGTCTACACCCACACCACCCACACGGCTCCACACCCTGACAGTCTACACCCACACGGCTCCACGCCCTGACAGTCGACACCCACACCACCCACACGGCTCCACACCCTGACAGTCGACACCCACACCACCCACACGGCTCCACGCTGCGAGTCTACACGCACATGACTCCACACTATGACAGCAAAGTTTTGTTTTTGTTTTTGTCTGTAGTGGGGCTTGAACTCTGGGCCTGGGCGCTGTTCCTCAGCTCTTCAGCTCAAGGCTATCACTCTACCACTTGAGCCAGAGCCCCTTCCAGTTTTTCGGAAGTTTGCTGGAGATAAGTCTCATGGACTTTCCTGCCCTGGCTGGCGTTGAACCACAATCCTCAGATCTCAGCCTCCTGAGGCGCTGGGATTAACAGGTATGAACCACTGACATCCAGCTAAAGAAAAGTTTAAATGCCAAGTATGGCAAAGGTAAAGAATCAAATACTATGATAACAGCACAATGAGATTGGAAAAAGGTGAAAGTATAAACAAAGGAAATACCTTCATTCACTTGGAAGTGTGGGAATTTCTCCTAACTAGCTAGGGACAGTGTCCTAGCCCTGAGCTCAAGCACCAGCACACATGTGTGCGCGCACACACATACACAGAGTAGAATTTGTCAAAGAAAAGGGGTGACCTAAGAGTTTAACTCAAAAAAGCTAGAAATAAGCTGAAAAAAAGCAAATATGGAAATTAGTACAAAGAAAAGCAAAAATGAGGGGCTGGGAAGGTGGCTCAGTGGTAGAGTGCTTGCCTTGCATGCATAAGGCCCTGGATTCGATTCCTCAGCACCATATAAGCAGAA